GGGGGAAGGAAGCATACTATGGGGAGATGCTCAGTCAAGGATGTCTCAGAATGAAGTGGGAACAGTAATATTTTTGTTTCCTTTATTTAGTTATTTTTTTTGTAATAGGCAGATTGTGGCAGAGGTGATATAAGAAAAAAGAAATAGAGGTGATGAATGCAGAGAGTTTGAGACAAATGGAAAGAATAGCTTAGATGTTGTGGGTCCACAGGAACGTCAAGACACCATCTTTGGTATCCCACAGTACAGTGAAACTTGCTTAAGGAAGTGAAGAGAGAAAGAATATGATCAGCAGTCATGCGTGATAAAATTAGAATAAGTAGACAAGTATGTATAGTCTGTCTTTTTCTAAATCATTAATCCAAACCAATACCGTTCTATGATTCATTGATCCTTTTAAATAATGAATTGTAATAGGCAGATAACCAGTTCTGTAAGGGTCAGCAGCACTTTGATATTCCTTGTCAGATCCTTCACAGTGAGATTGTCCACTCAAATTGTCATAAGACCTTGTAACTATTGACCTCAAATTGCCTTTATAAAGGCAACTTCTCTGACTCAACGGTGGCTTGCAACATGAGGGAGAAGATGGATCCAGTGTATTTTTAAAAACTTGCAATGCCAACATATGTATATGTAAAAGTTTGAATCTTTTTCCTATAATTTATGGTCCCAGGTTAGATGTACCTTTATCTCCAGAATTTTATGAACTTTCAAACCCTGCAGGTGGGTGTTCTGAAAAGCTTTTGTATCCTACTTTAATAAGAGTAGATAACTGCTTTCTTTTCACCTAGGTTGGATCAGATGTTTTCAGATGCATTTAGTAGAGATCATCAACTAATTCAAGCAGATCCAAAGCACAGCCTCTACCTTGCCTGTGCACTTCTTGTTCGAGGAAATGTGCAGGTTTCAGACCTTCGCCGAAATATTGAAAGGTTTGTAATACCACACAAAGTAGTCATGGGAAACTGTTGTCAGTCATCCAGAGCAGTCCAACTTTTCATTTGAAGAATTTCAATACCAAATCAGTTTACTCAGAAATATTTTTCTGAATTTTAGAAGGGAAGAAACTGTAATTAACTTATGCAATGAGTGAGAATAAGTCACAGCATTCCTGGATTTCCAAGTAAAGGAAGCTGACTAGATATCCCTGTACTGCTCCTCCCTTTCTCAAAAATGCAAAAGAAAGCAAAGCCCAACCTTCCAGGGGTCTCCTGACAGTGAAGGATATTGGAGAAGTACGTTCTGTAGGAGAACTTTTTTTTTTACTGAACGGAAGATATCTCTCTTTCATGGTTACTGTCATGTAGATAGGAAATCATCCTTATTTTGACAACTCTGTATTGTTAGCACCCTGGTACTACCTTTTACACTATTGAGCTACATAGATATAACAGGAAAGGCAGGCAAGCTTCACATACAGAAGGGAATTTATAGGCAGACAGGGAAGCATGGGGAAAATTTCTGAGAAGCTAAAGCATTTAACTTATTTCAAAACTACAGGTCAACTGATTGTCCCCACACAGTATTAAGCTGCCCCTTTCCTAAATTTCAGAGGGCTTACAGTCTCTTTTATAGAAATAGGTACTTGTAACTTCATCTTTCAAATCCTGATACATTAAATTAACAAAACAATATTGGTGTTTGCAATTTGACTTTCAAACAGACTCAGTGGTTTTGTCTGAAGTCTAAAATGTCTTATTCACAATGATAGTTATAACTGTCCTGCTTTGTTCTGAAAGCTTAAATGTTAACCTTTTCAAATTGTTAGTTAAGACAGAAAACTTAGCCTTCATGTTCTTTACATTCCTTAGATAACTAAATTTTTGTGTCACAGGTTAAAACCTTCTCTGCACTTTGTCTCCTGGAATCAAGAGGGCTGGAAAACTGGTTTGTGTTCAGTACCTCCCGTGGGCCATTCCCATTCACTTCTGGCTTTAGCAAACAACACCTGCGTAAAGCCAACTTTCATTGAACTCAAGGAGAGATTTATGAAGCTCTACAAGAAAAAGGTGCAACTCTTATTGTTGTAATATCCGTAGTCACTAATCATTAGCATCTTGTGTTATTGGGAAGCAAATCTTAGTATGGCAAAGGGACTGCTTAAAATTAACACCCCAAGATTTTTATTTATGTTACCTGAAAAGGAGCCATTCCAACAGCTGCTTCTTAAAAAGCGTAAATCCCTTATTAATCTGTACCTACCTGACAATATCACAGAATCATAGAATGGTATAGGTTAGAAGGGACCTTAAAGGTCATCTCATTCCAACGCCCCTGCAATGGGCAGGGATACCTTCCACTAGACCAAGTGTTTCAAAGCCCCATCTAGCCTGGCCAGGAACACTTCCAGGGATAGGACATCCACAGCTTTGCTGCGCAACCTGTTCCAGTGCCTCACCACCCTCTAAATAATTTCTTCCTCATATCTAATCTAAATGTTGATTCCCACCAAGCTTTTCTCTCACTTCCCTTCCTCAGCAGGACAGGAGGAATATACAATGAAAAGCTTGTAGGTCAAGATAAGGACAGGGAGATCACTCACCAGTTACTGTCATGTGCAAAACAGACAGCGAATATTATTTTAATTTACTGCCAGTGAATAACAGAGTAGGACAGCAGGAAATAAAACCAAAACTGAAAACACCTTCATCCCCATTCCTGCCCTTTCTTCCCAGTCTCAGAATTTCACTCCCATTCCTTCTTTCCTGATCTTTGTGTCTGCAGGGTTGTTTCTCTCACAACGCCCTAAATCCAATCTCAGCTGTTGTGCATCCTTTTTACCCCTTCTTAATATGTTGTCACAGAGGCATTGCCAGCATCACTAATGGGCTCAGCTTTAGCCAGTGGTAGGTCCATTCTGGAGCCAGCTGGAAGTGGCTCTGTCCCACATGCAGGCAGCTCCTGTTATCTTCTCACAAAAGCCACCCCTGCAGCCCTGCACTCCCCCTGCTACCAAAACCTTGCCACATAAACCAAATAACACTGTTTGTCCCCTAGGGTACACCCGACCAGTATGAAAAGATGGATGTTTAAGGAATCAGGAATATTGATTGTGATTCCATAGAGGATTGTTACTAAAGTTGTGAAGTGTTTAAATAAGGGGTGTCATGATACAAGTCTTTAAGTCTCCTTTCTACAGTGCTTGCACTTCCCCCTCCAGTGCAGGCTAAATGGTACTTACTGAGCCAAAGCAATTAGGGGCCAAGAAAAATAATAACACTGAATTATTTTTTTTTTATTCTTGTAGGCTCACCTTCACCATTATCTGCAAATAGATGGGATGGAGCAAAGCTGTTTTTCTGAAGCTGTGTCCTCATTGTCTGATCTAATAGAAGAGTACAATGAACTGGATGTGACAAAAGGTGGGCCTAGAACAGACCCATCAAGACTGAAGATAGCTGTTTAAAGAAGGAAGAACTGCTCTTTATTTTTTTGTTTAAAAAGAATGAAATACTTCCTAAGCATCCAGCCACTTCAGTTAACCAGAATGACTTGCAGCATGCCTGGCTGTTGTAATTCTGAAGTGGGACCAGGACAACGGCTTCCTCAGCTCAAGAGTTGTCATATTAAGTGATAAGCCCTGCCTGTAAGAAAGATTTGACAGCACCTAATTATAGCTGATATCAGTAAGAGCAGTAATCCTAACTGTGGAGTAAATTGACACACCATATGCTGTGAAGAGAAGGAAAAGAGATTTTAGCAGCCAAAAATGTAATTCTTTTCTCAGACTTTACAGTAAACTAAAGGTAGGACTTACTTCAAAGAAAGATCATTGCTAGATTTGGTTTTTAAGAAGCAGCTACGAAGGAAAGAAAAGCTTATGTAGTCTTTTCAAAGATGAAAGCAAGTCTCTAATGAAACTGCTTTCTTAAGCTTTACAGTGGACATTTCAGAATGCTCTAAGCTATGTTCATCATTTTAATATTTTTGCTTCTATGTTGTACTTAGCTATATTAGAGCATTCTGAATTGATACCAAAATTGGCAATATCAGAAAATTCCACTAGATAAATTTTGTTTCAAGTGTTATACTTGGAGTATTAATTAACATATTATTTTAATGACTCATATTCCTGAATGCTGAGTTGCACTTGATAATGAGATAATACAGTATACCTCTGACCAAAACATGCACTTAGAGTGAAGTTATATATATATATATGTAAAGAATTATAACGAGTGTTTGGAGAACAGAGTTTATAGGCTTGAAAGAAGGCAAGTAAAATAGATGTTTTAATATTTATAATTATCAGGGTAAGCAGTTTTTTATATTACAGTAAGAACTTTTACGAAATAGAACATACAGCTATTTCCACTTGCTTACCAGCCTCAGCTGTCTTAAAACAGCAAGACTGTTTTAACATCAGAATGGATCAATACAATGATTTCTTGAAGCTTGAAGTCCTTCTAGCAGAGTTGGAGTGGGTGTATAAGTAAGCACAATTTTCAATGTACACGTCCAGAAGCATTCAGTGAAACATTGTGCTAGCATTTGTGGAGAGCATTTTTTAAGAAAATGTTCTAAAAATAGTAGTTTCCTTGAAATCTTGCATCTATTATCTGCAGTTGCCCGCCCACTTTTTAGTCCTTCACACATGCATTGTTTATATTCACAACACTAGAGGAACACTATCTGCTGCAAAAAGCAATCTGAGTTTAAAGTTGAATTCTTCATTTTCAAACAGCATTGATGTGTTTTACTGTTGCAGATACATAGTTGAAAAGGTTAATTTAAGAATCAGGAATGATAGATGAAGTATTACAGGGTAATATTTTTTCTAATAGGTTAGAGCATGTTTGGTTTTTTTTGTGGGCAGCACCTTGTTACAGTGAGGCATGAAGCTGTCTTGCTTTGCCTTTCTTAATTACCAAAAGTTCTTGTTTGGACAGTACTGGTGTTACATGCATCCTTCTTAAGAGTGTATTTCCCCGTATAAAAGCAGTTACATTAAAAAGATGCACTGTTGCTTGTGTTTTCCAGTGACATTTAAAAAATGAGTAAGTATTCACTTATGTTGTTTCACTGCTTATACTGTTTATACTGCCACAGTATAAACACTGCTGTGGCAGAGGGTTATGCTAACTCCTCAGGGTGTGAATGTGCTTTTGCGTTGTCAGTGTGTTACAGTCAGTGGTGTAACTTGTCATAGGACTTTGAGTTCCGAAAACATATCTCCTGGAGCACTGCAAATCCTCTGACATACGCACGACGTTATCCACATCATCTTCCACTTGAAGAAGCCTTCGTTGGGACACTCAAACTGTACAGTGATCATTTTGGACTTGTTAGGTATGCAGCACCTCTTGTCCAAGCACACCCCACAGAAAGTTAGTCTGTAGCTTTGAGTAGTTGAGCATCCAGAAAAAACTAGCTTCTCTGCTCTTGGAAGCTGGAATGTTGGTTGACATGTTTTTCCTTTTGAAATCTTTAATATTAGAACAAAGAAAAGCCTGAGTTTTCTATGCATTAAAAACAGACCATGTAAGAAATAGTTGCAACATTTACTTAGAAATATCTTAAAAGTTAGTCTGAAACTAACTTGGTCTGAAACTGCCTTATTTTTCCTTTAGCAGTCAACAAATAGAAAATACTTTTGGAGTGACTGTGCATCAGGGCAGCACTAGCAACACACCTATATCAGGACATTACATTTTTTTTGCTTTAAATTGCACATCTGTAGTTTACTATTGAAGCCTGAAGATTGAATGTAGAAAACATAAGAGCTATTTTAAAACCCTTAAAAAAGAAAGAAGTAAATGAATTATTAGTAACTGCTAATACATCCATTTTTCCACTAGCTCCAATATTTTCGTTTTCTATTAAGAAGTAATTTTATATTAGAAAATACCTTTATTTTCTTCAGCATATTAGTCAGACAAGGCTGGATGAAGCATAATCTCTTTTCTTTTTTCATCTCACATCTTCTGTTGTCATTGGTCACTCTGCTGGATATGCCTATACCACAGGTCCTGGAGCAGGGTGTCCAGGGAGTTGCCTGTACAAGGCACTTTTTCTTCAAGACTAGCGGTAAGCTTCTGTAAGCTAAGACAGCAATATATTATTTATGCAGCAGAACAGCCCCAAAAGGATGAATTGAAAATACAAGGATAAGACTTTGATTTCTGTTCCTGAAGGTACTTCTGGAGGTAAACGTAGAAATGAGACATAAAATAACATTATTCAAAAGCCAGCTGAGCTGCTGTTAAACATTACTGACACTGGATACTCAGATCCTAGTAAGGACTATCAAATTGCATATGTTATATGACTCTCCAGTTCTACTTAATGGAAATGTTATGTGGAGAGGGTTATTTGTGGAATTTTTATGGAATGTCCAGATTTTTTTTATTTTATTTCAGGCCAAACATAGCTTGTAAAGGGCTGCTGAAAACATTAATGTTCATTTCTTCGTAGATACTGTGAAGACTTTAGAGTTTGTGTTGAGGAATAAAATACTCCAATCACTTCTAGATATCACCAAAAAGCCTATTTTTCTGATGGATGACGCCTGGGTTAGGTGGAGTACACTTAAAAAAAGAAATAAAATTGTAGTGGAAAAGTTCATGGTGAAAGTCTGCAAAAAAACTATGTGGAATCTGGACATTTATGTAAGAGTAGAGGCAGAATTACCTGAAATTGCCAGAATTGCTGTCAGCTTTCCAGAATACCTGGAAGTAGACAGCAATTTAAAGATCTCATTGAAGCAAGCAATTTAAAAGCCTTTCACAGAACTGCAACAAATAAAGAGAAGCTAAATGGTCATTTATACTTGGTATATTTTTTAAAGTATGACCTGTTTACATCCTTATGTGTCTGAATTAGGTAAATTCGATTGAAACAGAAAACTAGAAAACAAAACAAGAGCAGTAAAATGAAACTTAGCACTTATCCACACTAACAGAAAAAGGACTTTTCAAAATAGATATTGAGCCATCCATGGAGTTCATGCACAAGTTGACATGATACGTCTGCTGGTCTGGGAAATGGAAGGGGAAAGACTTTGAAACAAAAATTTCAAGGTGTATTTCTTTAGAAGGTTCCTAAAGAACAGCATCCTTCAGCACGTAAAGCCACCACAGAGACAGGGTGTTAGGTCTCTCAACTGAGCCAACAGGAAGGTCTTCTCTCAAAGTTATTCTGCACAGTTGATTCAAATTCTGGAATGAATGTTGGCTTAATACTGTTCTCCAGATATCTGAGATATATCTCCCCACAAACCCAATTACTGTATGTCAAATGGTCAAATGGTTTGGTTGCCATTGTTTTCAGTGTGTTCTCTCTTGAATCAGATTAACACTGTTTTCTAGAAAAGAAATCACTCTTCACTTGAAGTCAGTTGCCTTACCAAATGCATGTTTATACAACAACATTAAGGACATTTCTCTTAAAAGGCTTTGATATTAGATAAAGGTATTGCATCATAATTTTGAAGTAAGGATTCTTTTTTTATTTTTACTGACTTGTATAACCACTGCTAATGTGTGAGAAGCTGTCCAAACTGAACTTCAGATTTTGTAAGCAGGTCTGTTTATCTGCAGATTGACTTCTGTGCATCTACCTGTTTACTCAGCAGCCTTTGAAGGTTTTCTGATAAGCTTTGCAATCCTTTTAGTTTTATTTTATTGATCCATGATCATGATTCAAGCTGCCACCAAATAAATGGCTCAGCTTTCACCATAGAAAGCTGCACATGCACAGGGGAGGAGATGGCGCAAGCTTAGGCAGCTGTGGCCAAGGAAGGGCCAGGATAGCTGCTTCTGTCATGGTGCTTCCTTAAAGTGAAAAAGAAAACTACAGGGTCAGCAGGAGAGCAAGAATGAAGTTAAAGGGAATATCAACTGACCCTGGCAGTGGACAAGCATGGACGAGCTTGTGGATGTTTTTTATCAGACTGAATAGCGAAGAAAGTAAGGGGGAGTGCTGTCCTTACAGTGACCTCAAATTTGTCAGGAAAGCCACTAAGGCAATTTTTATCGTTTTTTGCTTTCTATTGGAAGAAGAGGCCTGCAGCATGTTAATTTATGTATGTGAAAACTAAGACTCTATACCACCACAAAGCAGGAGAAAGTGAGACAGCTCCCAAGCTGCAAAATGGCTGTCCACCAGCATCTCTAATTGGGCTGATCTGATGAGTAATAAACCTCTGCAGAATGATGCTTTGCCCAATTCCCTGGTGACAGAAGCCAAAAGCCTTTTTGCTTTTCACATTCATTAGGTTTAGAGAAAAGAATCTGTGACCTGAGAGTAAGAGGGATAAGTGGGACAGAACAGTCACCCTGGCAATGGCCTTCAGTAAGAACTGAGAAAGTGCCAGTGCGTTGCCTGCCTGGCTGCTGGAGCCAGGGACACTAAATGCATAAAGGCTCTTGTACAGAAAAGTTTACCAGTGTGGCCAGGCTCACCTGACATTAGTCTGTAGTTGGTTGATTGAAGCTGCTTTTGCTGTCCTAGGCCACAAATAGATTGTCCAGGCTTCTTTCTGCCCGTGACCCTGGTGCAGGGACTCACTGCTAGTTTCGGTGTGAATACAGGTGTACATCCAATTGCACCACTGACACACAGGCACTTATAAAGTGGGTTAGGCTGGAAGGTCTGCCCGTTGGGATAATAAACTCCATTGAGCTCACATCCTACAGCTACCAGATCTGAAAATGGTGAACAACAGTTACTAACACAGGAGGAGCACGTGGATCTTGCTTAACAGAGTGCTAAAATGTGGTGAGCCATAAATGTGGTCAGCTCTTTAAATCAGTCACCAACATGTCTGCCAATAACAGGCTTGTGCATGATGAACTGGTTTCACTAATGCATATGCAGGAAAGTTAAAAGCCAGCCCCAGCACTACTCTTAGATTCTCTGATTGAGCAGTCAGAGAACTAAATTAGGATAAATTGCTTAGCACAGAGCTGTACAGCACCTGCAAGCAGAATTTTCCTCCAAAACCATTTACCTGCATGGTCCCACCCTCCTGCATTTCAAGAAGGAAACGTGAAAGAACCACTTACATGCACACACGCCTTTTTCATACCTAGGCTCGTCTTCCGAGTAGTCGCAGTAGAGACCTTTATGGGGATCACAAACGTCTGCTTCATTGCAGGGCTCTCCTGACTGCTTGGCGCAGACTTTACAGCAGCCACAGCCATCCTTCACCAAGCTTACCCCAGGGGTGCAGGCTGGCACAGGCGGACATCTGCATGGCCAGTGACAAACCTCCTTGCGCTGGTGGACTTCACCAGTTTCTGAAGGTTTATCTCCAGGCTGCACTGGTGGGCTGTGGAAAAACTTACACACAGTGGGATATTTTGAGCGCTGAATGTATTATGTGTACCTGGAATAGCATAAAATAAAGTTGAGGTGGAAAACACTGTCACATTGGATGAAGACACGTAACATTTCTCATCTCATGGGATTGAAAAGTGAAAGGCTGTGAGTTTAGGTAAGAGGCAGAGGACCATCTTCATCCACTGTCATGGACTGAGGTGTTCTAACAGTTAACCTGGCCTACTGCTTGTACAAAACACAATTCATTGGTCTTTCCTTTGCCTTCTATAGAACAAAACCTGTAGTAGAACTGAAGTAGAAAAAACAGTATTTTAAAGTAGGTGGTTTTATTTTAAGTATTCCTTCCTACAAACCTTTTATCAAATTAATTAACTTTCGATTCGTCACATAGTTATATAACCAGCCACAGTCCTGTGTGCCAGTTCTGGTGGCAAAAGCCTTTTAAAATAATGAACCTCTTTTGAATGTTATTTTTGCTCTAAAATTTGAGTAGTTGTTTGGGAGTACGCATTATAATATTTACAAATCCACTTGTGCTACACACAAAAATTTAATCCTAATAAGGGAGGCTAGTAGTTATACTGAGCTTAATAGGTTACTTTCTAAGAGTGTATTTATTTGCATGACTAAGTCCTCATTGAATCCAGGGCTTATGGAGCAAGGAGATTTGTATCAGCAGTAAGAAGTCGAGATCTAGACAGAATTTACTATTTTGCACATTCTGTCTCAGAATTCATGGGGGGTTTTGTTGTTTGGGTTTTTTTTAAGTGAAGGAAAACCTAAGTAATTCTTGACGGGTTTATTTTTCTGAGGCATGGGGGGAGATTTAAGTCAGCACAGAGTGTGAAAGGATCTATTTGAGACAACTATATTCTATCTGCATTTTTTAAGAACTACATCTAAAACGTAACAGTTTAGATCTTAGCATTAGATCTTTTCATGCTGCCGATTTCAGCAGAAATGCAGATCATGCTATATTTGTTCTCCACAGATGACCAGTTCCATAATGAAGTAGAGGCACACACAGCATATGGCCACTATACAACATAAGGCCTGGGAGCCACTCTCGTCAAGCAGCTCTGACTGCCCAAAGAGCAAAAGAGCAAGACAAGATCCAGCCCCTCATCAGGTGCCACTATCACCATCAAGCTTGCAGAAAAAAAATAAAATATGTAGTCTATATTTTTTCTAGGCACATGAAGCACAACCTATCAGTTTTTCTCTGTTCCTCCAAACCGCAGGGCTCTACTGATATAGAAATCACCTCCAGCAGAGATACTGAGGGAAAGGTCATGAAGGGGTCATTCAGCTGGGTTTCCTTTCTGCTCAACTTTCAAACTGGAAATCTCTACAAAATTCAGCATTTCATATGTCATAGCCCATGGAAACTCTCACACTATAATTAAGCCGACCTAATTGCGTACAGCAGTAAATGACCTTTTAAAAGCCTTTTTTCTAACACTAATTTCCATTTTTCATGGTCATTTACAACTATACTTACAATATCTTAATCCACAGCTACTAATGAAGCTCCAAAATAGTAGCTTTCAAGTTCCTTTGGCTGAATGATTTTTAAGATAGATATTAATTTACACAGGCAATTCTTATAGGAAATGAAAATTAAAGAATGTCGTGTGGCATTCCATGCAGCATGAAGAAGATAGTTTAATAAATGTGTAATTTTGCAAAAGGATTTCTTCTAATCCTTTCTACCTAAATGCAGCAATAATATAGAAGCAACTAACTTAAGTGCACTTTTTTTTTAGGCAGCTAAGAATTTCCTATAAACCATAACATTAATTTGATGAACATGTGCATTGAAATGTAAAGCTTCTTGAAGGATCATTATGGAAACAAGACACACAGGTGTACCTATACATTTAGCAGTATTCAAGACTGTATGGTCCGTTCAGGAAACGCTTCCTTGCGGTTTTTTTTCTTTTTAAGCAGAGCATTATTATTATTATTATTATTATTATTATTATCTGGCCATGTGCCAGCTATATGAGGTTATGTGGCTTGAATCAGATACCACATTTCAAAATGGGTATGTGTAGCAGGAAGTATTCTTATGTGCTTCAGCCAATATGTTTAATTTGTATTACAAATTAAAGAATGCTTTAAACCTACAGAATTCTACCTAAGTGATTTTTCTCTCTTTTTTTAGGATAAGATGTCAGCTGAAAGGTGTGAGACTACAAAGTTCCCCAGTAAGAAAAAACACCATCAGGCAAATATCTGACAGTTTTAGTAGTGAAATTACCGAAAACTTTGGTTTAGCTGAAAAATCTTGAAATATCTATTAAGTTACAATGAAAATGTAAAGTTTGCTTGTCAAGTTTACAGGTCAAATATTTTTCTAATTTGTGCTTCCCCAAGTTTCTATACCAAAGTTATTCACATCACAGAAGCCCCCTGCATACTTTTCCTGATCCTATGGGCAGATCAGAAAATGAGACCATTGTGTAGGTACCCTTCATGTGTTGTTTGTTTTCTTATGTGTTAAAGATTGAACAAGGTCAGTATGGCATAAATAAGCAAAGAGCAGAAGTAGGCAATGTATTATCACTAATGTTCAGTTTTCTTAGTCTGGCTCTAAATATGCAGAAAGTTAGCAGAGGGAGACAATCATTTGAAAATTCTTCATCTGACACTCATCTTGATCGTAAAGGACAAATTTTCAAAATTGAGTAAATAAATAATGAAACTGGGCTTTGACACAAATACCTTCACAAAAAGCTATCACTTAAAATTTTCTTATAAGAGACAAAGCATAACACAGCCCAGGTGCCTTTCTCTTTGTAAAACTAGCCTGAAGTCAGACCACTGTGTGTATATATATTTGCATACACATATATACATAGATATATGGAATATGAGCATATATGGAATATGAGCATGGATGTTTACTTCCTTACTGCATCAGATAATCATTTGTGCTTAAATTTTAAAAAAAACCAAAACACAAGGTCACTGGCAATTTAAGCTTCTCTAACACTTTTTTTCCCACTAAATCATCTTAATGTACAGAGAGAAAAAAACTACCAAAATCAGGACTGATGCAGTAAATAAGCTGCAAATGAAATTTACTCAGGAGTAGGGAATGGCTGCTTATTCTTTATGAGGAATTTGCTTCTCTGAAATTTAATTTGTTGTTAAGCAAATAAAAACTTTTAACCAGAACAAGGTGAAGAAGGAAGAAATCTTTTTCTTCTTTTTAATGAACTTACCTGTTGCGTACAAGGGATGATGAAGATGGTGGGAACAAGGAGCCACCGCATGTTCCTGCACATTCAGAAGTGAAACTGAGAGATAGGGAACAGGCTGAGCTGTGTCAGGGGAAGCACTGAACACAAAGCTCTCCTCTGTCTCCCTTGCCAACCCTACTTTCCCCAGCACATGCACGAACACATACACGCATTCACACTTGAAATTCTCCACTTCATACAGAACCAGCTTCACACTGAAATTTCCAACTGATCTTCTTTTCTCTGCCCAGAGCTAGAATACAGATTTTCACACCCTGCTTGATCCCATCCAGCTGATTCAGCCAGACTTAATTGAGGTCGGGTGGGGTGACATCTGATTCTTGAAATCTTGCTGCTGGAAATGTAGTGTTATTATTGTCTTTAAATCCATATTACAAGAATTTCTGAAATCTGAAGGGCAGAGCTCCAAATACATGCATTTTTTGAGACAGAGAAAGAAGAGTTTCTCGAAATTTCTGATCAATTGTGCCTTACAAATCATAGCATAAAAATTAACAGTCAGTACATGCTTTCTAAATACGGAAAGATAAACTATAGTGTGTTATAATGCTACTGCATGTTCTGCACTGCTTATTTCCATGGAATCCTACTGGGCAAGCCCAAACTATAATGTACTTTTCCCTGAAGTATGCACCTTGTCTTACGGCCGTGCCACCACTTAAAGACAATATTGTTCAAATCTTCAAATTTCCTCCTTCCTAATGCTATCAAGGTGATGTGCTTGACTTTTAGGCTAAAAGGTGAGAGTCTCCAGGATAACATAAAACCCCCAGTCCTGCAGCATTGGTGTTGGTGTTGTCCCAGTGAATGCTCCTCCTCTCCTTTGCATTTGTCCTTGCTTAGGCACCTCCTGTGAAGCCCAAACGTTACTAGGGGAGGCTGCCAAAGACCACACTCACACAGCAGCCATGTGTTAACAGAGGCAGTAGTGGGAGTATGGAATCAAATCCAGAACAAAAAATTCTGTTTTGCTCCCAGACTTGGAGGACCACATGCTCTCTGCATGCAGTTACAAATGCACCCTGAACTGCCCTTCCAAACTCTTGAGGAGTCAGCTGTAAGCACTGAAAATCTACTTTTCTTTGGCATGACCACTTTGTCACATAATTCAAGATAAATCCAGGCAGTACCTAGGTGACAAGCAGATGCTGCAGATCAGTTCATTTCAGTGATGTTTCTCTGCATGTGCAGCAGTGCAGACCGGGTCTGACTCAAGTCTTCCTTGCATTTCCCATTAAAATCTTATGAACATAGACCCAGGTTTCTCAAACATCTCTTTTGAATACTATCAAAACAGAGGTTTTTTCATAGAATCAGAAGATAATTGAGGCTGAAAGAGACCCAGGGATCTCTAGTCCAATCTCTGCCCAAGCAGGGTCAACGCTGAGATCAGACTAGGTTACTCAGTGCTCTGTCTATTTGGATCTGGAAAACCTCCAAGGGTGGAGGCTGCCAGATCTTTCCTGACAGCCTTTCAGAGCAATGCCAGCTGTCTGAGGAGGTTCCAGGTACAGTTTTCTCCTGCAGCCCCAAAGATAATCCTTTCACTCTCCTGTCTGGAAGAAGTGAGGAAGGTCAGAGGACTTAGCACATCCATTCTCGTCCTCCAAGGACTGCAAGGGTAGCGCACAGCATTCATTTGTGCTGTTCCTCTTTGCATTGCAGAAATAAAACATGTGGCCAGTGTAGGACTGGGAATGCTCTGTGTGAGCTGGCAAAGACTGGTCTGATGTGGATAATGGTCCCCAGTCTTGGGAAACAGGAGACAGATGTTTCTGTAGGACTAACCTTTGGTTTTAAATGGTGTGTTTTGTTGGAATTACCCAGATAACATGATATCTTGAGCTTTAGAGAGTGAGACTTTGAAACTGAGGTTTGAGTATAATTAAGCTGATTGACAGAAAATATGGGTTTGGAAGGAGTGGGAGGAATGGTCCTCCCTGAGGAAGACATTCTGATGATAGAACACATTAAAATGTGGTTTTAGGTGTCTGGATGGTTGTTAACATGTGCAAAGTAACCAAAAAGGCCCAAAAAGGGCCTCCTGCTAGGAGCAGGGCCCCTGCTGGGACCGCTCAGGTCTCCAAAGCGATAAATGTGCCTTCACTGCCTTTCCCTAACAAATACATTAAATGAGACTGTCTGGACCTTACAGTACCTGCAGTACTGACCCCTGCATGTATAGTAAGTAGCCATAAGACCACAAAGACAGCAGCACTAACTCCTATGCATAAATAGTGCACTGATGCTTTGACTGAGTATTAGGGTCAGTGTCTCTGCTAGTATTGGCTCTGATTTAAAGAAATGGAGGTTATATGCCCTTTTCCTCTCCTGAAGATCTTTAGTGATCCCCCACAACTTAAAAATTAATGTTTTTAATGCCATGGGCAGACTCAGCAGTAGTTTGTTTGTATGCATCCTTCTTGCCAAATCTCCCTTGCAGATTTGATTACATAAAGTATCATTCATTTCCTGAACTAAACCTGCTCTGCTATGTGGTGCCATTCTAATACCACCCCGAACGGAAATGTAATTTAGTTGTATATTCGGTGACCTCTAAATACTGCACGTATTTCTTTGGTGCCAAAAAATCGTCTTCCTGTCTGTGAAATATGCCATGTAAAGCCATTGTCTTAAGAGATGGAAAAGTATGAAATATAAACCCATAAATGAACATAATCATGCATTCTAACTGGATACAAAGTCTTAGACAAAATGCCAGAGGTATTTATTACTGATATTTGTATGGGCCAGGATTTTCAATACTCCCTACTGGGCTCAGTGGAATTATTGAGATAAAATCCATGAAAGCCAGGGTTGGGTTTGGTCATTCCTAATACTTGGGTTCCAGTACCAGACACACACCAAATTTGGGGAGTCACCTTTTGGCAGAAAGGTTTTAGCATATTGGCCTGTTTTGTTGCTCTTTGTGCATGGATATTACAAAGAGACTCCTCTGTTTCAGTCAGTCAAACCTACTGACCATGTCTCTTCATTCAGAAAAAAACCCAAACAGATGGGTAAAAAGAAATAGGCACATCATATGACAATGTATTGCCCTTGGCTCACCCTGTCTCACATGCTGTTTGCTTACTCAGGCAGGCTTTGGAAAGAAGCTGCCTTCTTCAAAACAACTGTACTCCAAAAACACCAATGGACTTCACTAAAAGGTCTGCTTTCTATTGCTGGCAGCTTGGCCACACCAAAGCACAGACATCTCCCTGCTGGGAGTGGCAGAATTTGCTCCTAGGCAGCATGGAGTGCCCCAGGTCCTGGGCTTAGCCACGCTCAAAAGTGCAGTGAAGTTTCCAGCTGGATGCCTGAGACCAGGAGCTGTGATGGTCTTTGAGAAGGAATCACCTGCCCAACACCTATGTGCTCTTGTGAGGTCCCTTCCTTCTTCGCTGGTCAGCTGCTCAACTTCTGCATATTTGAGTAATTTTTGCTCCTCCTCACATTGAATTTCAGACACAAGTTGCACTCAAAAATGCCCCATACTTGTCCTCTTGTAGTACCACCAACAACAGCACATTTCTCAATGAGCTGAGTAAGGAACTTCTCTCAGGCTGACAGGGGTCTTCCAGTGGGATAAAAATTCACCTTGTCCTGCATACGCACTTCAGCAAGGCCATGTGCAACACTGAGGTCACTGTTGGAAGGGTGGAAGTGCTTTGTACAAGGGCAGCTACAATGAGTTCCCCACAGTGTGCTGCTGTTTCTATTTCAGCTGTCATCTACTTACAAACTAATTTATAAAACTTCTCTGAACTATAACAGGCTGCCTGATTTAGGAAGATATTTACATGCAGGTTTAAAATTATAGGTCCCATTTTCAAAATCTTTTTTTCAAAAAAATTTCCCATTTATGCAGGTAGTTGTGTATATCCTATTTTCTTTTAACAGACCACAAACACAGAAAAGTTGCCATAAAGTCTGTATTCTTAAGGACACAACTCTGAAGTGTTTCATCTTTCTTTGACTGTCAACCATGTGCAACAAGGAATTCTCAGAATTGTTTAAGCTGAATATTTTTGATCAAAGAGAGCCTGAGGTTTTATGTTTCTGGTTAACAGATCATTTAAAAATATCTATACACACACTGGATCAGTCTGTGCTCTGCCTAGCTCTGTGGGACAGGCTCTATGCAATTAATCCAAAGAGGCACTGCCTGCAAAAAAAAAAAAGAGGCCAAAGTGAAGGTGGGGACAGGAATAAAAATGAAGACAAATTGGGAACCCACCAAACAAGGCAAAGAAGTGCAACTGTGCTGAGCTAACCTATTACATGCTGGAATTGGCCAATTCTGCATACAGTGCAATGGCTCTGTTTTTTTTAGTGTGATGCTGAATTCGCTGTAACAAAAGAAACTCAGATCAACCCAAACCGTATTTGTAAAGCAGCTTTTCTCTTCATAGACCAGTTCTTTGGGCACCCCAACACTGGCAGCTCCAACCTCCCCTACCTTTCTCCCTCGCAACTGGCCTGCTTTGCAGAGAGCAGGCAGACAGCTGCTCCTCAGGGAGAAGCACTGTCAGGATAAATATTTGAGCAGGGCAGCCAATTCCGCATGTCAGGAGACATGCGAATGTCCACTGAGACTTATACAGTTCTCAAAGGGTTTCCATTGTTAGTTATAGGAGGAAATAGTAAAGCAGTTTCCCAAACTCCTGGGCTGTTTACACATCTAGCTTGTGTGCCAGATAAAAAACATTCCCAATGGAAATGAAAATAAGGTCTCAGCCAATGTCCTACCCAAACCATCCTGAAGGGTAAGGTGTGGGAGTGACACAGAAAAAGAGTTGTATTTTTCCCCAAACCACCCATTGGGGATTTTTTTAAATTTTATTTTATTCCCAGTACCTACTTTACTAACCTTAAAAAAAAAAAAAAAATCCCACATAAATACTGGTGCATTCACATTGCTATCTCCAGATTTATTTTGGCACAAAGTCATCCGAAAGACAAACTCATCTCTTTGGCCTACAGGAAAAGTATATAATGCTCTCTACAGA